CCTCAGACCTCGGCAGGTGCTGATACCCCTCTCCTGTCCCCGGGATGGGAAAGACTGAGCACCCGGGGTGTCTGTGAGTTTCTGTGGGGCCCAGATGAGTGCCTCCAGCACCATGGGGATCCGCCCTCACTGTGGGCAGCACCATCCAGCCCGCCCAGAACTCGGAGAGAACAGGGCCGCAGGGCAGGGGCAGCTCGGGGCTCTCATGGAGCCTGCGCGTCTCAGTGCTCCCCCTCAGGCTCAGAGCCCCCGGTGCTGTGGCTTTTCCACTCTGGTACTCGCACCCGTGACCTGAGACGACCAGCTGCAGCCTTAAGCCAAGAACCCTGGCGACTCCTTGTGCAGGGTCCTGCGGACTTGGTCTGTGTCCGCTCCAAGCTCTCCTGGGTTCTTATGGGCAGATGGCCACCCCTGGGACTTGGCAGCCCCCATTACAGGTGAGCCCCTCCCCCTGACAGACCCCTTCACCTGCACCGCCTCTTGCGCCATGTGTTTGGCTCCCAGGGAACTGTGGCTGGACCGGATTCTGAATCCTCTGGGGAACATTGCTGGGTGGAGAGGTGGGGAGAGACGGGGTTGGGGTTTCTGTGGTTCTGGAAGCTCCCAGGTGGGTGGGGGTCAAGGACCTCAGTCAGGCGTCCTCAGAGCCTCTGTGGATCCTTGCTCTGGACAGTGAGAACCAAGAGGGCCCATGTGTCTGGGTGGACGGAGACCTGGGAGCTGCCCCTTGCACAGGGGTCCACTGACCAGCTGCAACTAATGGGGCGTGGTAGCGGGCGGCTCCTCCCACCATCGCCCTGGAATTAGAACCAGCTGTGAGCTGGAAGGATCAGTCGGGGCATCTCCCTGGGGAGATTCAGGTGTTAAGCATTAGGAATATTTTATATTGAGTCACCTGGGTCCCAGGACAGGTTGCGTCTGGGTCTTGCGGTGGTGTGGGGATTTCATGAGTTGTGAGCATGGGCATTGCTAGGAGCAGGCGGAGGGTGAGGGTGTTCTCTTGGGGCAGGGCAGCAGGACCACTGATTAGGCCCCAGTTAGGTTCTGCCTCGTCAAATTCCAGTCCCCTCTGACACCCACACGTGGACGTGGGGAGGTCTCAGGAGAACGGGTGCCTTCTGGGTCTGCAAGGTGCAGGGCCACCCTGAGGGCAGGACCAGGAGTGCGCTCTGGGCTGAGCTGGTGGCCTGGTGCTTGTGCCTCCTGTGCCCAGGGCTGGCAGGAGGGGCCAGGGCCACGGGCAGTGGAGAGAGGGAGGTGGACAGGTCTTCTGTGTGTCCTGTGTGCTGTGGCCGTGGGTGTGTGGTCCCGCCCTGGCAGGCTGCAGCTCCTCCAGGGTGGGAGCACACAGCACCGCCCTGGCTGACTCCTGCCCCCCACCCCAGGGTCCTCATCTCCAGAGGGGCGGCCTCGGCCTCTGCCAGCACCCGCACGTGTGTGCAGGAAACTGCTCAGCGCAGGGCACGCCTGGGCCTGAGGCGTCCATGACAGGAGGTGGGGAGCCCAGCACCCTGGGGCTCAGTGCTCTGAGGGCTCCGGGGACTGCCACTAGAGGAACCAGGTGATGTCAGCTCCCAGAGTCTGTTGCCTGGACAGCGTGTGGGTGCTGCCTTGGAGACCCGTGTGGAGTGTGCCTCGTCCTCACTGCCCCAGGCACAGGACCCCATGGCTTCTCCGTCCCCCGGGGAGCAGCTGCTGCCTGGGAAGAACTTGTAGCCCTGGGTGGGTGCTCACAGATGTCCCTGCACTACCGCCTCTGCTGCCTGCAAAGTGCCTGATTGTAATTTATGACAGATGTGATGTCGAGAAATGTGCATGGAAAATCATCAGGACTCAGTGTCGGTGACAGGCACCTGTGGTCACACACGGGGACCGGAGCACTGGAGCCTGGACAGGCAGCTTGGAGCCGCACCCGGGGCCTGGGCTGAGTCCCGGCTCCAGTGCCCATGGCTGCCACCGACTTGGTGTCCCACCCCCTGAGGCTCTGTCTCTAGGCTCTGTCAAGGGGGTGTGAGCAATAGGAGCCCCTGCCGTGGAGGGTGGCCCCCACCCCAGGAAGCAGCCAGAATAGTTCCCAACTCTCCTGAGCTCCTGAGTGGTGCTGGGTCCTTAGGGGCCATGGGCAGCCCGGGCGGGGTTCTGGGAGCTGTCAGCGTCTGTGGGTCCTGGGCTGTGGGGGAGCTGGCTCCTTCCTGTGACCCCCTCTGGCCTTTCCTTTGTCCTTGCCCCTTCTCCTTGCCTCTCTGTCCCTCCCGTGTTGGAGGCCCCAAGCCTGATTTGGGGCTCTCTCTCCCCTTCTTTGTCCTCAGGGAGAACCAGGAGCAGCCAGGCCAGGAATACCTGCACCTCCCAGAGTTCCCTCTTGTTCTTCTACACAGGGGAGCCCCAGTGCCTACTGTGGCTGTCTTCCCTTGGCTGACCTATCAGCTGTACCCCTGCCCAGGACTCCTGCCTCTCTGCGTGTCCCACATCCCATATTGACCAGACCCACAGCCCCCACACTGGGAAATGGTGGTGGTCATCCTGCCTCCCAGGCTGGGGCCAGAGTGAGTGAGGTTATGGCTGCGAAGCTCCAGCAGGGGACGAGCCCATAGGGGAGTCCTCAGGGCAGACAGAGGCTGTGCTGGGGTCTCCCCCGAGATCCGGGACACCAGGACCTGCAGGAACGCCCCCCCTTCATGTTGCAGTGGATTTGTTTCTGGGAGGAGGAGCACGGTGGGGGCAAGAGGCACGGAGTCACCACACAGACCCCGGGAGTCAGGTGAAAGCAGGCCTGAGGCAGGTAGCCTGCAGACTCGTTTATTTCAGGTGCTACAACAGCTTATATAGCCAAGGCAGCCAATCCGGTCAAGGGGCGGTCTATGCCCTAACCAATCACAGTCTGTAGCCAGGCAGTTTCTGAAGCCATCCAATCACAGCCTGTTGCCCGTGGCCATGTTGGCCTGGCCTTCTCAGTCCACCACACCTGCAGGCTCTGTAGGAGAGGTTTCCCCACCAGGTTGCACACTGTGGCCTGTGGGATGGCCCAGGTCAGTCATGTTTGTTGTGGGTTTTGTGTACAGAGTTAGTGGTGCTGACATTTCTGTCTCCTCTGTCTCCCTCTCTGCCCTCTCCATCTATTTGCCTTCGAATAAATATATAAGGAAATCCTTTTAAACAGAGAAGTGAGCAGCTGGGACGTGAACAGACACTGGTACGGGACGCAGGCCCCGTGAGCCGTGGCTTTACAGCTCCGTCACAGCACCGCTGACTTGAGTGACAGAACATTTGATGTAGCGTCGCGATGCCAGTGACGCTGCACCATGGTTTGAGAGCGATCATTCAGGGGTTAAAGAGAAAGGAATGGATACATTGAGTCTGCAAAAGGCAAAATTATGAAAGATGTTAAGACTAGAAATGAAAAGGTTTCAAAATATCCTACAGGGTTTAATTTCAAAAACACTGAAATCACTCTCTTCAACCTAAGAAAGAATTGTGCGGTCTTTGTCTCACTCAAGTGGAAAGGTTCCTGTGCGAACCAGCAGAGGGCAGCACCGGCTGCGGTTTCCTGCTCTGACATCAGAGGGCACCATTGTGATGTCATGCCCGCTGCCTGCACAAAGCCTTGGCTGGGCCTGGGTTCTGTCATTGGCCCAGGAAGGGCTGTCCCGGTGACCCGGGGCTGGGAACAGCTGCCTGTGTTTCCCTTGTTTTGTTTTTTTTCCTCCTGCTGCTGTTTTAGTCAAATATGTTTTTTCTTTTTCCATTTTGATTATTTTGTTTTCTTACTTATTTTGTTTATTTTTTTCCTCCAGCATTTATAGTCTTTTTCCCTTTCTTACTGATTTTCCTTGGATGTTTCATTTCCATTTGGATTTGTTGTCACTTTTTCATTGGCTTCCTCTTGTTTGTGGTTGTTCTTTGTATTTTCTCCCATTGTTGGGTTTCTATTTTTTCATTCTGTGTTTTTTTTCTCTTTTTTATTCCTTTTTTTTAAAAATAAAACCATGAGGCCATCTGCATTACTTGTTATATAGTTCAGATTCTTGGAATTTTTTTCTTTGTGCTTTATTACTGATTTATTTGTGATTTCTCACTTTTAACGGTTCCGATAGGGTCGGTCTCAGTTGTGAGTCTAGTTGAGTTCATTCAGTTCATGTTTTCTGTTGGTGATGTGAGCTGACTTTGTCCATTTTGTGTTCTGATTTCTGTTCATTTGATTTCTGTTTGTTTCATCTTCGTTTGTGCTCAAGGAGTCAGAGCCGTGAGAGCTGATCTGTGTCAGCTGCTGGCTCAGGGTCTCCCAGACGTCAGCCCTGCTGACCCTTCCTGGGGGAGCCCTGGAGAGGGAGAGGAATCCGGAGGAAGAATCGGATCCTGCTCCTCCTTTTTGGTCAAATTTGTTTTTTCTTCTTCCATTGTGATTACTTTGTACTTTTTCTATTTTATTTTGTTTCCTGCCACCATTCATATTCATTTAGTGTTTTCTCATTTAACATTTTATTCCACTAGAGCAGTCTCCTTGTTGGTGTGGTGTAGTACATACAGTTCATGTTTTCTGTTGGTGACGGGAGCAGAGTGAGTTTGTTCATTTTTGTGTTTTGATTTCTGTTCATTTGATTTCTGTTGTTGCATTTTCATTTGTGCACCACTCGTCTGCCTTCCTGGGAGCCCCGGGAGAGGGAGAAGAATCCCGAGGCCAGAATCGCATCCTGGATGGGGACTTCCCAGGGCGGGGACTTACTGCCGGTCCCCCAAGCCCTCTGTGTCCCAGTGGCTCCCGCGTCCCTCAGCAGAGCGGGGCAGGAGGTGTCATGGCGGCTCCTGGATGAGCTGAGAAGGCTGTCAGGTGGGACAGGTGCTGTCTGCACGGGGGTGGGAGAAAGGGTTGTTACTGCGATGTTCTGCCTGCGGGGGACTCTGTTGGGGTCTCCCATGTCTGCAGGGGAGGGGCAGTGGCAGTGTGGGCCCCTCTCTCCCCTGCACAGGTAACTACTGCCCAGTCTGGGTGGCTCTACAAGGTTTAGGATCCAAAGAAGCCCAGAAACCTGATCTGCACCAGCAAGAAGACTTCCTGTGGAAGGACCTCTTGGTGGTAAGGGACTCACCCACAGGGACAGGGACAAGGGACCAGGCCATTGCATGCCAAGGCCCACGTTCCCCACATGTAAGCTTGTCCCTGGTCAAGCCCTCTGACCTCTCATCTGCAGGAGGGTCCTGGGGCCACCAAACGGTCTACACAGCAGGTGCTGCAGCTGAGCTGTGTCTCTGGTGCCCCCAGGTCACCACGATCTTCCATGGGAAGACAGACTCTGAGACGTCCAGCCTCCAGAATCCTTGCCTCGGTGCTCTCTAGCGTAGAGTGTCCCTCGTCCTCGCTGCCCCAAGGACAGGACCCCGTGGCTTCTTTGGCTGCCCCAGGTCACCATGATCGTCCACGGGAAGATGGACTCTGAGATGCCCAGCTTCAGAATCCTCGCCCTTCCAGAACACATTTCGAAGGTCCCTCATCCTCGCTGCCCCACGGACAGGACCCTGTGGCTCCTCCGTCCCCGGGGAGCAGCTGCTGCCTGGGAAGAACTTCGTGTCTCTGTTGGTGCCCATGGATTGCCCTGTACTACTGCACTGTGCCAGAATGAACAGATTTATGAGTTAACAGAAATCCATTAGGTCAATAAATTGTGAATGGAAAAACATGAAGGACTTAGTGTTGGTTTCGGGCACCTGTGGCCTCACACAGAGATCGGAGCGCTGGGAGCCTGGAGGAGGCAGCTTGGAGCCACACCGGGTCCAGGGCCTGGGCTGAGTCCTGGCTCCACTGCCCGCTGCTACCCACCTTGGTGTCCCTGCCTCTTGGCCTCTGATTCCATCTCTGTCAAGGGGGTGTGAGCAATAGGAGTCCCTGCCGTGGAGGGTGGCCCCCACCCCGGGAAGCACTCAGAATAGTTCCCACCTCCCCTGGCTGCTGGGTAGTGCTGGGTCTTTAGGTGCCATCGGCAGCCTGGGCGAGGTTCTGGGAGCTGTCAGCCGTCTGTGGGTCCTGGGCTGTGGGGGAGCTGGCTCCTTCCTGTGACCCCTACTGGCCTTTTCCTTTGTCCTTGCCCCTTCTCCTTGCCTCTCTGTCCCTCTCCCTCGGGGAGGCCCTGACCCTGATTTGGGGCTCTCTGTCCCCTTCTTTGTCCTCAGGGAGACCCAGGAGCAGCCATGCCGGGAGCACCTGCACCTCCCAGAGTTCCCTCTTGTTCTCTTGACACAGGGAAGCCCCAGTGCCAACTGCAGCCATCTTCCCTTTGCTGAGCTCTCGGCTCCACCCAAGGTCAGCAGTCCAGCCTCTCCTGGGTGTCCCACATCCTGCATTGACCTTACCCGCGGTCCCCTCCCTGAGATGGTGGTGGTCACCCTGCCGCCCAGGGCTGGGGCCAGAGTGAGTGAGGTTATGGCTGCGAAGCTCCCAGCAGTGGACGAGACATCTGAGGAGTCCTCAGGACAGAGGCCGTGCTGGGATCTCCCCAGACATCCGGGACACCAGGAGCAGGCAGGAGTCCCCCTGCCGTCTTAGGAGAAGTTTGCACACACCAGGTTGCAAACTGCCAGCCCACGGGCCGGACCTGCTCCCTTGAGTTTGCTGTGGTTTGTGCTGTGTGCAAAGTTGTGGTGCTGAGGTTGAGATCTTCAGATACCACGGAGCTGTCGGGGCTTCTCTGGGCACAGGGGAAGGTGTGGCAGCACCAGGCCCCGGGGTCTGTGGCCCCAGTGGCTGCATGTGCTCAGACACGCCCCCGCCCTCTGCAGGTGCCCCCAGAACCCCTGGCTGGGAGAGGCTGGGGTTGGTTTGGCCAAGAACCTTTCCACGTGCAGTGTCTGAGACTCGGCCAGGTGATTCCCACTGCACAGAGCCGCGCTGCTGGGTACTCAGAACCCCAGAGGCCACAGGCGTGTGGAGCGCAGGTGAGCCTGGGTGTGGAGCGCAGGTGAGCCTGGATCTAGGCTGCCTTGGTGCTGGGTGCCCACCCCTCCCCCACTGGCTCCCTGGCTCCCTGTGGAGCTGGGTCTCTGCCTCAGGCTCAGCTTGCATTTCACAGCCTCAGCTCCACCCCTGCAGACCTGGGCTGTGGGCATTGTCCCCTCCTTCACAAACAGGGAAACTGAGGCTGAGATGAAGAGCCAGGCCCCTCCCCAGTGAACGGTTCCTCCCAGGCCCAGGTGGCTGCTGATTCCTGCCCCACCCAGGGAGCAGCTGGGGCAGAGCCGGGGCGTCAGCATCGGGAGCAGCTGCCAGCCCTGGGCCCAGGGGCTCAGTGTGGAGGAGACAGCTCCACCTGTGACAGAGGAACGTCCTTAGGCCAGTACATGGAGTGGAGTGTATCTGAGAAGAGCATCATACAGCAAAAATGATACAAGAACCAGGCAGCTCTGGACATGGAAGAGGTTCTGAGGTTGCTCATCCAGGACAGGTGCACAGCACTGCTGGACCACGGGAAGTGGTTGTCGAAATCAGTGCCATGGCTCCAGGCAGTGCCCACAGCTGTGGGGCGGTCACGGCTGAACTAGTTAATTTCGAATTAGTACACTAGATACAGGGCCTTGTGCCACAGCCACAGCACAGGGGCCTGGATGAAGCTGTCTGAGTTGGGTCTTGGGCCCAGTGCAGGTGCCTGGTCCAAGTCTATGTCTTCCTTGAATTTTATTTAGCACCTGATAAGGCTTTTCCGTGCAGAGGTAGAAAAGAGATATCTAGGTGACGTTTTATTAAATTAAGAATGTCTGAGTGCATAGACGTGTTTTAGGATCTCGGTCTGTGACTCCTTGTTGACCCGGGCCACTGTGCTGGGACGGTTCTTCTGGGCTCCAGCAATGAGGATATCTGGGGAGGCAGGGGGAGCCGGGCCCGGGGTGGAGCCTCAGAGTGCCTGCAGGTGTGGAGCCTGCGCCTCTCCTGGCCCCTGCGATGGGAAAGACTGAGCGACCCGGGGTGTCTGTGAGTTTCTGTGGGGGCCAGATGAGCGTGTCCAGCACTGTGGGGATGCGCCCTCACCTTGGGCAGCACCATCCAGCCAACCCAGAACTCGGAGAGAACAGGGCCGCAGGGCAGGGGCAGCTCGGGGCTCTCATGGAGCCTGCGCGTCTCAGTGCTCCCCCTCAGGCTCAGAGCCCCCGGTGCTGTGGCTTTTCCACTCTGCAACTCGCACCCGTGACCTGGGACTCCCGGCTGCAGGCCGAGACTCAGAAGAACCCGGTTGAGCTGGGTCCAGAGTCCTGCGGACTTGGTCTGTGCCCGCTCCCAAGTCTCCTGGTTTCTATGGGCAGATGTGCGCCCCTGGGACTTAGCAGCCCCCAATACAGGTGAGCCCCTCCCCCTGACAGACCCCTTCCCCTGCACCGCTCTCTTGCGCCATGTGTTTGGCTCCCAGGGAACTGTGGCTGGACCGGATTCTGAATCCTCTAGGGAACATTGCTGGGTGGAGAGGTGGGGAGAGACGGGGTTGGGGTTTCGGTTGGTTCTGGAAGCTCCCAGGTGGGTGGGGGACAAGGACCTCAGTCAGGCATCCTCAGAGCCTCTGCGGATCCCTGCTGTGGACCGTGAGAACCAAGAGTGCCCAGGTGGCTGGGTGGACAGAGACCCGGGAGCTGCCCCTTGCACAGGCACCCACTGAGCAGCTGCACACTAACGGGGCATGGTAGCCGGCCGCTCCTCCCACCATTGCCCTGGAATTAGAACCAGCTGAGGGCTGGAAGGATCAGTCGGGGCATCTCCCTGGGGAGATTCAGGTGTTAAGCACTAGGAATATTTTATATTGAGTCACCTGGGTCCCAGGACAGGTTGCGTCTGGGTCTTGCGGTGGTGTGGGTATTTCATGAGTTGTGAGCATGGGCATTGCTAGGAGCAGGAGTGGGCTGAGGGTGTCCCCTTGGGGCAGGGCAGCAGGACCACTGATTAGGCCCCAGTTAGGTTCTGCCTCGTCAAATTCCAGTCCCCTCTGACACCCACACGTGGACGTGGGGAGGTCTCAGAGAACGGGTGCCTTCTGGGTCTGCAAGGTGCAGGGCCACCCTGAGGGCAGGACCAGGAGTGCGCTCTGGGCTGAGCTGGTGGCCTGGTGCTTGTGCCTCCTGTGCCCAGGGCTGGCAGGAGGGGCCAGGGCCACGGGCAGTGGAGAGAGGGAGGTGGACAGGTCTTCTGTGTGTCCTGTGTGCTGGGGCCATGGACGTGTGGTCCCGCCCTGGCAGGCTGCAGCTCCTCCAGGGTGGGGGCAGACACAGCACCGCCCTGGCTGACTCCTGCCCCCCACCCCAGGGTCCTCATCTCCAGAGGGGCGGCCTCTGCCTCTGCCAGCACCCGCACGTGTGTGCAGGAAACTGCTCAGCGCAGGGCACGCCTGGGCCCGAGGCGTCCATGACAGGAGGTGGGGAGCCCAGCACCCTGGGGCTCAGTGCTCTGAGGGCTCCGGGGACTCCCACTAGAGGAACCAGGTGATGTCAGCTCCCAGAATCAGTCTCCTGGACGGCGTGTGGGTGCTGCTCTTGGAGACCAGTGTGAGTGTGCCTCGTCCTCAAGCCGCAGGCACAGGACAACAGTGGTTTCTCCGTCCTTCGGGGAGCAGCTGCTGCCTGGGAAGAACTTGTAGTCCTGTGTGGGTGCTCACGGATGTCCCTGCACTACCGCCTCTGCTGCCTGCAATGTGCCTAGTTTGTAATTTATGACAGATGTCATGTCGAGAAATGTGCACGAAAAATCGTCAGGACTCAGTGACCGTAATGGGCACCTGTGGTCACACAAGGGGAGCAGAGTGCTGGAGCCTGAACTAGAAGCTTGGAGCTGCACCCAGGGCCCAGGTGAGTCCCAGCTCCAGTGCCTGCTACTACCTTGGTTTCCCTACCCCTGGGGCTCTGTTTCTAGGCTCTGTCAAGCTTGCATGAGCAATAGGAGCCCCTGCCTTAGAGGGTACCCCCACCGTAGCACCCAGAATAGTTCCCAACTGTCCTGAGCTCCTGAGTGGTGCTGGGTCCTTAGGGGCCATGGGCAGCCTGGGCGGGTTCTCAGAGCTGTCAGTGTCTGTGGGTCCTGGGCTATGGGGTAGCTGGCTCCTTCCTGTG